GTAACTTGCAAGGTAAAGGCAGGAGGATCACAAGTTCAAGGCCAGACTTAGCAACACAGCAAGACCTGTTTCAAACTTAAAATAAATTTTTATATATTAATAATTATAATAAAAAGATAAAATAGTTATAAAACAATAAAAAGTGCAGTAATTGGGATTTTTAAGTGCTTCCTTTTGCAGTTATAAATGGTGGCTTAGAGGGATTCAGTCATAATTATACAAAGATTCCATGCTGTGTCAATTATATTATGCAAGCTTGCCATAAAAACAACAAAAAGATTTGCTGATAGTGACTGAAGCTACACTGTGGAATACCCCTGAAAATGACTTCAATAATGTAACTCTTGTGATACTGTGACAGGAGAATTGATGGCTAAGGTATGAGAGGCAAATGAGGTTAAATATTGAATGATCTCGAGGGATACCATGAAAACTCTAATATACATGTATTTACACAAATACAACATATAATACATTAATATCTTAGTCTCTTTTTGATGCTATAACAAGATTCCTGAGATTGGGCAATTGATAAAGATTAGAAATGTTTTTGGCTCTTGGCTCTGGAGTCTGGGCAGTCCAGCAACATGGCAAAAGCATCTTTTTTTTCATAATAACATGACAGAGGGCATTGCATGGTGAGATTGATCTAGTATGCTGGTTTGGGTCTCTCTTCCTCTTCTTAAAAGCCTACTACTGCCAATCCGGGGGCCCATTCTCATGACCTCGTCTAGTCCTAATTACCTCCCAAGGGTTCCTCCTCCAAATAACATCAGAATATGATTTCGGGGACCAAATTTCCAACATGTGAACATTTGGGGACACATTCAGATCATGGCAGTTACATTCATTGAAACATGGGCATAAATACAGTGTACTTAATTTTTTAAAACTACAATAATACCTTATGGGTCGTAAACTGTAACAGATCCAATACTAGAAATTTGTATTTAACCTCTCTTATCTGCTAAAAGAATTAGCAGTCTTTGTCTTCCCTGATTTCAACCACATATTTTGTTTTCCAACAACAAAAGATAAATTTATATTGTTTCAGAAAATAGGCAAAGGTAATTTATTTTGCCTGTGTCTGTGATTTGGATGATTCAGAATCATTTCATATTGCATGCTTCCTTTTCTGGATATAGTAATTAGCAATCCAGATGGCTAATATATAAACAATTTAAGTTATGCTTAAATTATTTATTATAGCCCAGGAGGTTCCTAGCTCACTTTAGTACCCGCGACCATCTGTTTATGGCTGTGCACGTTACCATCTGCAAGTTTGTGCTTTCAGTTTCTTTACAGGTCACAGTCCCCACCTCCCTTATACATGTGGAGGACACTTGCTTCTAAGGCTGCATTAACCATTGCACCTCTCAAGACTCTGTTACAAGACCTTGGTAATCCCGGCTTGCCTTCAATTTTATCTTTCTTTTTATTCCTAATTCAGTTGTCCCCTTGCTATTGCTCTTCTCAAAAGTATTCTATAAGTTGAAACTTGTAGAATAAAGATTAAGAACATGAGCTGAGTGGGGGCTGTGTATGTGGCTAATTGATCCTGGACAAGATTTTCCACCTCAGTTTCCTTACTTTATAAAATGAACTATGCATGAGATAGAATATAACCCATTTAGTACCATGCCTGGCATTCCATTAAGTACTGGTCACTATTCTTATTATTCACATTTTTGGAAAAAAAATTCTCACAACTGTAGGTAGGCATATTTAAAGGAAAAGTTTGACTACTATTTCTAGAGTTTCACATGGGTCTTTTGGAAGGAGTATCTGTTTTAATTTAAGCAGCTGATTATTTAGGTGAAAGCAGATATCACAGTAAAATGTGTGTAGCTATTACAGCATGGTTGTTTGGGGTTTGCTTTCAGTCTACCTCACGGGATCCTGATTGAAACTTTGGATCCCAAATAGCTGAAGGAAAGTTTCTCTCGATGCTGGTCTGAGTTCTTTTCTGTTGCTCCTGGTTACGTGTTACACTGTGATCACTTTGGAACCTAGCCGTCACATCTGTCATTGTCCCACATGGGTCAGGCCAGTCCACATACACAGTCTCTGGGGAGAAAGACCAAACACTGACACTCCCATATTAACCCGTGTTCTAGACTGTCTGTGTGTTCCTCCCAGCAGCCTGTGAGCTAGGCCAGTCTTCCTGATTTTATGCAGTTTACAGTTTCTGAATCAAAAATCATCTATTTTTTTTTTGAATATGAGTATAGTGAAGCAACCAATGGAACAGATGAATATGATTAATCTGGATTGTCTTGAAAATTCAGGGCAAATAGCTGCTATGGTTACAATGTCATGTGGTTATAATGTAGAGATAGAGATACTTTGTGAAGGCTTAATCTTGCACATAAATCTACAGACCTGCCAGTGGGATTCACATGTCTCTCTCTGTCCCCCCTTCTCTCTCTCTCTCTCTCTCTCTCTCTCTCTCTCTCTCTCTCTCTCTCTGAGTGTGTGTGTGTGTGTGTGTGTGTGTGTACCGCTTCTGTATGAAAAAAACTGTAGACATACACTCACACCACCCTGTTTTGACAATAGCGCAGATTTAACATGCACTCACATAAATCCTTAGCATATGAACCAATTCAGAAGTAACTGTGCAGCTGCTTGATTGGCCCAAACATCTTGTTTCCAATTCCTTTAAAAGAAGCTTTTACTAAAGTCCATGGAAGAAGTAATTCAAGGCTCTTTAATATATTTCGGTTTGCAAAGAGAATTTCAAACTGTTCCAGTTGGTCAGTGTATATCCTTATAAAACCAAATATCCCATTCATGGTCTCTTGTTATGCATCCTTGAATTATCTTCCATGATTTTTATAGTATATTTTATATGCTTATAGTAGTATTTTATATTCATTTAATTCCATGTAAACAATTACAGTAATTGTTTCCAAAGTGAGCAAATCCCTTCTGTAAAAATCACACATGAAATAGAATGTTTATTCACATATGAAAGGGATCCTTCACTTTACTTTTTTCTTCTCTCTCAGTGTCATTTGATTACAGAATTAACAGTCTCATAAAGCCTCAAAAAATATATACAAAGTACAAAGTAGAGTCTTCTCTCACCTCCTTGCCGCTCCCCACCTCAAAGAGTGACCGCTGTTTACAGTTCAAGTATTCCCTGGCAGCAGATGGTTTTCTGTGCCTGTGCAGACATATAGGTGTCTTCTTGGAAAGACTGATGCTCACATTCTTGAGGAGTTAGGAGCATTGCTGTTTGAAAAAAAAAAAATGGAGTTTGACGATGTTAGTCATTATGCTTAAAGGGAGTGATTTTAATAAACACTGACAGGTCATTTTGTGGTAGGCCAGGTTTTCAAGTTACTAGTTTGAAAGAATAGTATTTTATAACAGGTGTAAAAATCAAAGGTATTTTGTGAAATATTTTGCCCTTGATTTTCTATATTTTTCAGTGTCCATGGATAATTTGTTTACAGACACTGCAGTATTCAAGGAAGATGGAAAGAACAGCCTGTGTCAGCTAAAGAAATAAAACTGTTAATCCCAAATTGACAATTGAAAGCCCTTTAAAGTTACTTGTTACACTCAAGAAACAATTCACCCAATCTGTCATCTCATTCCAGCTTATTAGTAGTGGAATCTCTCAGGTGACTCTTTCAACAGTTGGTGTAGAGCTCTAAAGTTGTTCGTAGAGATTCCCTGTTGCTAAGAAATACAACAGTTATTTGGTGTTTGATACTGTTAGTCACAGTGGTTAACAGGGCTGAAGGGAGGTCTGTAAATGTCCCATTTTTTTCTGTTTGGAGCTGATCTGTCCCATTTCTGTGTCCTTTCTGCCTTGGTACACTTGTCACAGGAAAAAATTTGCACAGTGGCTGGAAATTAAGCCTCAGATGTCGGGATTTCCTCATGTAAAAATATCAGCTCAAATGAAAAATTAAAAATAGTAAAACATGTAAGAAAACATAGGCCTCCTCAAATCCTTTGTGAATCAAGACAGTATATAAAATATATGAATCAAAACCAAGAGTTTTATTTAGGTAATTTATGTGAATAGTAAAATTAATATTATTTTCTATAGACTAGTTTAATCATGTCTCTCTTTTTAATTTATCTTTTTAAAAATTTCATTTATTTTCAAATTTGAGTGTTTTATTTATCTAACATTTTATACCCCTAAAAATAATTTTCTATACTCTTCTACTGGAATGAGGACTTCGCATGTTTGAACTAGATCTCTAGCTTTCTGGAGTTCCTGGTCTCTAAGGAAGAGGGATAATTTGGTCACTGCAATGAACCATGCCCAAGATCAGTGCTGTGGGAATTCAAGCAGAAGAAGCCTTTCCTCATCTATGATGCACAACTGGGAGGTGCTGTAGAGACTGACTTTCCAGGGCCAGGGCCTTTAAGCGAATGCCTGAGAGTCAGACACACGTCAGTCAGGCAGAGGGTAGTGAGCTTGGGGAGTGAGTGGCCAGAGACTAGCAGTGTCTGCAAAGTCCTGGCCATGAGAGAGATAAGGACACAGTCAGGAATCTGATAGAAGTTTAGTCTGGCTGGAGTTATAGAAATTTATTATGAAAGCATAATAAATAGCATAGTGGAGTTATAGAAATTTATTATGAAAGTAATACATGTTCATTTTTTTTAATTAAAAAAATAGCAAACAGGAAAATCTACATCGTCACTAATTTCAAGCTGCAGTTAACTTCTGTGAACCTTTTGCGGTTATCATGCCTTACATTTATATTCATTGATCTTTGTTTGGCCCAGATAATAGACGTATAAAGATATAAGATGCCTGTACATATATGAAAACATTTTAGGTCAGGTTGGGATCATGCCAACATGCTACTTGTTACCTGCTTTTTTTCCCACATCTTAGTATGCTTAGATATTTTTAATATCCTTAGATGGCATTGTATTTTAAGTGAATTATTTTTAAGTTGTAATGTTTTATTTTTATGAATACAAATGTATTTTTAAAGTTGACCATTCTCAATTTTTCTCTGCAGGAAGAATGTTTCTTGAACCTCGAGGCTCCTATATCCAGAGTGTGTGGGTATGACACACCGTTTCCTCACATTTTTGAGCCATTTTACATCCCAGATAAATGGAAGTGCTATGATGCCCTTCGGAAAATGATCAACTATTGACCACATAGGTAGGTGCCCTGTATTGTGAGAAAGTTAACGTTAGTCCCTGACATTCATGTACTGTTACCCATGGATCAATAGTCGTCCTTGTGTTACATTCTGATAAACAGCAACTTTCAGAACAAAATGTCCACTTTGTAAAATAAATCTTTACTAGTATGTTTACATTTAATAGAAACATGTCAAGCATATGTATACATGTAATTTCTAGAAATCATTATTCAGATTTTATCTTTATTTCTGTATACTTTTCTGACTATTTAAAATATTCACAAATAGGTGTAATTTTTATTATTATTATTATTTTTTATTTTTTATTTTTTTGGTGCTGGGGATCAAACCCAGGGCCTTGTGCATGCAAGCCAAGCACTCTACCAACTGAGCTATATCTCCAGCCCCAATTTCTGTTCTTTGGAAGTATCCCCTCAAACACCATTAGCTTAGGCTCTAGTTATTCATATGATGATTTATAACATTCTGAAATTCACCCTTATATTATCTGGAGAAAACATTTATTGAGTGGAATACCTCCTTATTGAGTATAAGGGAAATTTCAACTAAGGAAAAAACTTACTGCTACTATGACTACTGTTTTCAGATCCTTTTTGGCAAATGAATGCTTTTTAAATTTTGAATAACAGATGATATTTATTCATAATGATTTTTGAAGTCATGCTTATCAGCCCCTTCAGCAGTGTCATTCTAACAGAAATAAATAGCATTAAGAATTATTAAATTAGGTTTTCTGGGTTTTAATATAGATGTTGCTATCACAGACACTCTGATTTTGAAATATTTCAAAATGAGTAGATAGAATTAGATACTTTACATTTTAAACTGTAAGTTGACCAAAACATAATAGTAATACATTTTGAATAACCATGATTTTTCAGAAGAATAGGCTCTAAAATAATATACCCCATACGTTTTAAAGATAAAGAATGCTGTAATTCTTGAGTTCTGTATATGTATTATAAAGCTAGTTCACCTAAAATTAGAGAGAGATGTCTTTACATTGGTACAAATACAGAACATAATGCCCATCATGTGCCACTCTTATTATAATCCCCATATTTTTTGCATCTCTTTTGATAGAATGTTGTTATAAGTGTAGATTTGGGCTGTTAGACCTCGAATCCCAGTATTCTCTCAGAAGTGCAGGTGTAGATGCTATATTTCTGATGTCCTCTTGCTGCCTGGAAGAGCAGCTGGCTACTACAGTAAGCTACACTTAGAACTGATGAGAGAGCTTCCTCACTTTTGACATATCATTCCCTTCCATGGGCCATCCAAATGCCAAATCAAGGTCGTAGTGGTGGCAGCCACATGCTGGTTTTAAATATGATTTTCCTCCTCCTCCATATTCTCTTCCTCCCCCCCCCTCCTCCTCCTTCCCACCTCCTCCTCCTCTTTTCTTCTTCTTCTGTGGTACTGGGGATCAAACCCAGGGACTCATACATGCCAGGCAAGTGCTCCACTATTGAACTACACCCACATTTGTTTTTAGACATAAGCAAAGAGTTTAAACCTATATTGAAACTATGATAGAAGAATAGCTTTTCTGTGCTAGAAATTAAATAGGATATTAAAGTATTTGTGCATACAACTGAGAATGTTTTTAATTGTTTCTGATTTCTTTTACAGAAAAAGGGGAAGATTATGACTACACACAGAAATATTTTTTTGAATTTTTATATTTTCTCAGACCTATATCTTCTTGAATATAGTTTTTATGAAATGAACAATCATGGATATTGACTAAAGAGTTATAAATTAATTATTATATTAACAGAAATGAATTGATGATTTCTATTTAGAGCATTTCTGATTAACATCTTAAAATGTTCCACATGGTAATAATAATAAATTCAGCTTAATTCCATCTGTAAGTATCAGGTGTGACACAGTATTCAATAAAGAAAAGTCAAATCGTCTTCAGGTTGTGTCTGTCGTCTTTTTTCCTTTAGTAAAAAGGAGTTTTGTTGCAGGTTGTTAACTTGCTATTTAAATCTGAATTAAAATGAACTCTTTACTCTAGAAATGCTGATGCTTCAACTTTATTATATGTGGTTTAGTTCTTTATGGCCAAAATGTTTGGATATTGGCAAGAATTCTGGAATATTTTTCCCTCTTTTCTCAACAAGGTTACTGGTGGAAGGACCACGTTTCCAGATTGTGGTGGGGGAGGATCATCCCTGAGCCTCATTCCCATACTCTGGGAGATAGACAGCCTGATCCTGTTTGCTATAGTATTGACTGGCTTTAGCTATGGTTGTAGGTTTTTTGTTTTGTTTTTTTCTTTGATGTTTCAAAGCAGACATTTTTCCATGTTTCTTATATTATTGTGTAGATAAAAAGAAAAACATTACAATAAAGTTTTACTCAGCTATAAAGAAGTATGAAATTATGGCATTTGCTGGTAAATGGATGGAAATGGAAAACATCAAGCTAAGTGAAATAAGTCAGACTCAGAAAAATCAAGAGTTGAATATTTTGTCTCATATGTGGAAGCTAGAGCAAAATAAAGGAAAGAAGGTGGGACTTTGCCTGGGTCAGGGGTGAGGAGGTATAGGATATTGTAAAGATATAGGGGAAGATCAATGGAATAGAAGGAAATTGAGGGTGACAGAGGTGGAGAGATGGGAAAGGGGAGAAAATCTGGAATGAATTTAACAAAATAATATTATATGACTAGACCACAGGGTAGGTACCATTCAAAAATAAATAAATAAATGAGCAAAAGGAAGACCTGTAGAGTAGAGGTAGGAGAATAACGGGAGAGAAAAGGGAAGGAAAGTGCAGGTGGGTGGGGATTGAAATTAAATTCCATGCCTATATAATTTTGTCAAAGTGAACCCAACTACTAGGTACAAGTATAATGCTCTAGTAAGAAAAAAAGGAAGATTAAAAAAATAAGAATAAAAATATTAGCAGCAATGAAGGGCTTCTACAGGAACCGCCTTCTTCTTGAAGACTTTTCCAGGGTCTCTTTTTGTTTACTCTACCACCTCTGCCCCCACCATAGTTCTAGAAGGCCTGACCAATCCAAGGATCCCCCTGTAGAGACCCTTAGCTCTGGCGCTGCTCTTAGCTGTTACATCTGCCACTCCTCCCATCATTTCAGAAGCATTTCCTCTCATGGATTCCAGCAGAACCAATCCCAAAAGAGAAATGGGGTTATCGTGTTTTCCTTTCTCTATAAACCTAAAAAAATTGGACATTTTCCTATGATTACAAGTGTGTATGCCCCCTAAACTGCAATATAAAAAGCTGTATCCTGGTTTTTTTTTTTTTTTTTCCACCAGCAGTTGGTAGAGGATATCGAAAGTAATATATGTAGGTTGCCAGAAGTTTGGAGGCAAAGTAAAGGCCCTTGATCATAGACTCCAAATGGCAATGGGCTGAAAGAATGAGCCAGATTGCTTCTTAGGGGTAAAAATAAAGCCTTGACCTTGGATTAAAACCTGAACAGTATAGAGAAAAGATGTAGTTTGTCAGTTGCAAGTTCGGAAAAGATTTAGGGAATCCAGTTGGCTCACTGCACAGGACATTCTGAGCTTAAGGTGCCAAAACTCAGTAAGGACCTTGGCTTACTCCACCAAGAGCTCAAGGCGTCCTGCAGGGAACTCTGCATTCACCAGTCTAGCAGAGCAGGAAATACACTGCAGTCACCATACCTGGAGCTCTGAAGGGTCCTGTTGAACATAATGGTTTTAGTTGAACTTATTTTTTTAGTTGATATTATTTATTACTTCAGTTGGATGTCTTTATTATGTTGTATTGCCATTATATCATTTTAATGCGATTTTTTCTACACATTGGTTATTTTAAGAATTTTTTCTTAGCTATTTAAATTTTAATTTATTTAACTCTATTTTAAAAAATAGCAAACATAAGGATAACTTGGGATAATCTATACACTAAATGCCAGTCTAAGTGCACCTTCTCACCTCCAGTTGGCCCACCAGTCACTACCCGCTTCCCATACACAGTAAATAGCTTAGAGTTAATACTAAATTTAGCCTACAGCTCAAGGCATGCACATACCTCTACATAATTATCAAAAATATATATTTTTATGTGAAAAAATGTTTTATATTGTGAAAATAAGAAGATAGTGGCAAGAAGGTACTCGAGATCTTAAAGGAATGCCAAGTCCAACTCTCCCACAGTTCTCTGCCTCCATATAATAAGTCTGCTCCCTGTGACAATGTGGATAGAGAAGCTAATTTTATTTTCTAGGGTTCAAAAAAATTATTCAGTTCTGTTAGGAAAAACATACTGTAACATCCAGGTTCTGCATAACTGATAGATATTATCCAACTGAACTACATCCCTGTGTACATCAGAAAAAGAAATGAGGAATATGATCCAGAAAGTAACTCGGTTCTATCCATTAGGTGTATGTCCCATCCTCTAGAAACCCTTGGTGTGATCTTTAGAAGGTGGCCCACTGAAGGTACACATTTAGTTTAAACAAATCCCTTTCTTTTTAACTTGTGTGCATTGGACACATGTGATTGCTGGATGCCCAGCATCCTACCCCTACAGGCTAGTAATAAACTAACTAACTGCTGTTTGTTTGGAGAACTTCCTCTCCCACCAGTACTTCTCCCCCTCCTCTCTGGAGGGGTGACCAAACCCAGAACTTTTCAGCATTGGCCACCAAGACTCAGCCAGTTAGTTCAAAGCAAAAATTTAGTTTACCCAATGCAGTAACAAAAGTTAGATAGCCCAGTCTTGTCAATGATGCTATATTCTAAAAGACTGGCTCTTGAATTTTTACTTGTTTCAAGGATACCAAATATACAGATGATAGATGCTAACAAGCTGAACACACAGATGAGATTACCCTTAGCAGGAATTCTTGGCTGAGGGAAATCTGAGAAATGTGGCCCCAAAGGAGTGATGTTGGAATTTCCAGGGATATGTGAGTTTGGCAATGCTGATATACGCCCCGGGGCCATTAGGTTTGGAAAGCAACAGAACATATGGGCAAAGCTTTAGAGAACCCAGTGCACTGATTTCTCCTTGAATATACTTTTAAAGGATATTTACCAGAAAAAATGAGAGATTAAACAGTAATTAGAATGAGAAAACTGTCGCTGGAAGGACTGGAAGTGAGAATGGAAGCAAGTTAAAAACAGGAAGACGTATATCTATATAATTATCTTAAATAAATTTTTATGTGAAATAAAGGTTTCATGTTCTAAAATAAGAAAATGGTCATCATAAATACGACATTTATCGACAAAAGACTGGAGTAGTCGTACATTTACCAGATAAAATTCTAAAGTTCTAAACTCTTCATTTTCAGCAAAGGGGAGTATAACTTAGCTATTCTGCTGTTACACTTGAAAGTTTAATGTTGTTAAATGCTTTGAAAAATTACGTTAACTGTGGATGGAGTTAAAAGCAGCGCATGTGTTTTCCATATCACTGCAGAGTTCAATACTTAATATACCAATTCATTCTACAGTTAGTGGGTGTCTGTTAGAGGCCAGGCACTGGGTTAGACTCTTAGGTGTAAAGTTAACTAAGAAACACAGTCCCTGTAACAAAATAAAAAGCAAAACAACTGAAAACAGACAAAACCCCCAAACCAAAACAACCCCTCCCCCCAAAAAAACCCAACAAAATAGAATAAAGCAAGGCCAAATGAAACAATTAAGGCAATAAATGTTATAGAGTAACCTCCTAGTTAATAAGAAAGAACTTAGGTTGGTTTAAGAAACAATTCACTTAAAAGCTGTTCACCACAAATCGTCTTCAAATAAGCTGATCTATCAAGATCAAATGTAAAAATGAAAAAATACAAGCCATATGATCCAGCTATCACACTCTGGAGTATTTTCCCCGAAGATCTAAAATCTGTATACTACAGCAATATAGCCACATCAATGTCGATAGAAGTACAATTCACAATAGCTAAATTATAGAGTTAATCCAGATGCCTGTCAATAGATGAATGGATTAAGAAATTGTAATGTATATTTATATAAATGGAGTTCTACTCAGCCATTAAAAAGAATGAAATTATGGCATTTGCCAATACATGTATGAAAATGGAGACTATCAGACTAAGTGAAATTAACAAAACTCGGAAACTCAAAGGATGAATGTTTTCTCTCAAATGTGGAAGCTGGAGTTAAATAAAGGAAAGGGAGAGGGAAGGATATCAGATTACATAAAGCACCAAGCAAATAAAAATTAACAAATGAGTAAAAGGAGGTCTAGAAGCATAGAGGAAGAAGGAGAAAGAGGAGGTCGAGGACAGAGGGAAAACAGAGAATCATGAACTGAAATCAAATTCCATGCATGTATGAGTTTGTCGGGATGAACCCAACTATTATGTATAATCATAAATAAATAAGTAAATAAATTCATACCATAGCAATTTGAATAAAAAAATGAAGAAAACTAATGCAGCAGAATTCACATTAGACAAAATAGTAGACAAAGGGGAAATACGCATTCAACATTGACCAAAGGAATCTCAGAGTGAAGGTTCGACAGTTAAATCCTTTATGTTCCAAGTGTTTAGTATTAAAATGTAAGCAAAAATTTATAAATATAGAAGATGTGGACAGAACAGTTGTAGAGATGACTTTATACCCAACTTTCAATTTGATAGATGAAGTAGATCATAATAAGACTATAGAATATTTTAAGCACATGAATAATGGGATTGAGTCCATAGAAATACATCTTTAAAACTTTTTTTTTCTTCAGAAGATTATGTTGACTTTCAAAATAAACATAAGCAATGAAAACTATTTTTGACATCCTAAGACACAGAAATATTACAGTAAACTTCCCAAAGAAAAGAGTATTAAAAACCATTTTTTTCTGACTATCTCCCAAATTAATAAATATTACAACTACTTCTAAATAAAAATGCACCTGACTTAGTAACTATAACCCAAAAGGGAAA